ATATAAACTTGAATTGAGTGAAGGTTAATAGACAAGATCCCCTCCCTGCAACGACAGTTATCCTGCTTCCTCTCTGAGGTTTCCCTTTTACATCTTATTTTTCACAAATCAATAAAGCAAAAATATTTGATGTACACATACAAAACAAAAAACATGTTTTCATTTAAATGTCCAAAGGGCACATTGTAAGTCAGACTCCTGCCCACAGACACATAACCTTTCTCAGTCCATGGACCCATATGTTTTTGTTTTTTTTTAAGTTTATCTCCAGGAATGTTTGTGTTCAGCCTGAAGGCTTCACTACAAAGAGAGGGAAGTAGGGAGAAAGAGTGAGGGTCTCTCCCTGACATCTTGTGACTCCTGTCCCTGTTTGCAGCCTGGTGATGGGGCCGTTGCTGTGGATGTGCCACAGGATAACAAGAATTTGAAGGTGGGTGCCATGCAGAGTCTGCCCAGTGGGGACACTGAGGGTCTCAACTGACAGCCACAGAGCCAGGGCACTGCAGCCTGATGCTGGAGACCCTGGCCTGTGATAAGTCTCCTGGTGAGTTAGGAAGGACAGAGCTCCTTTACCAGAGGGACTCTTTCCTCAGGGTAAGGAAGCGCTAGTTTGGGAGCATGGTCCAAAATGTCACAGTACTGCCACTAGCTTGCTGTATAACCTCAGTAGGTCCATGTTCTCTGGGCTTCAGATTCTGCTTATATAACAGGACTATCTGGGATGAACTCAGGTCCTGCTACCATCCAGAGTTCTGTGCTTGTATGATCTGAAAATGTGGCGCTAGCATGACCCAGAACTAAGAGGAAGAAAGGAGGAGCACTGGACAGGAGCCTGGGGTTTCTGAAAAGTTGTTTCTTAGCTGTCTTACAGAGTATATGGGAAGAATGCCTTGGGCATTTCAGAAGAAAAGCTAAGAACCTCCCACTTTAGCCAGAACCCTCCCTCATTAATGTGAATTCCAAGGCCTGTCATGAAGTACTGTGTTACTACAGCCACTAGATGGCATAAGAGTCCAGATTGAGAATGGAGCAAGAACAGCCGTAAACTGAAGAGATTGACAGAAAGGGAATAGAGAACCAGAGAGGAAGATTAGTGTTAACTGAGCAATCATGTGTCTTAGGATGTTTCATTGTAAATCAGATGATATTTCTATGTGTGTGGCTTGTATGAATGTGTGTCACTACGGTGTATCCTTGTCTGTAAGTACAGACGTGTGTGTGTGTGTGTGTGTGTGTGTAAAGTTTTCTGAGCACATAGGCAGAAGAGAACCGAACTGGGAATCAGAAGCCCTGGATGCTTGCTTTGATTCTTCCACTTGCTCCCCAATACTTGGGTAAACTTCCTGACCTCTTTTCTTTTGCTATAAAATGGGGATCATAACCGAGTGTATCTCGTAGAAGATGGGGTGATAGAATATAAGAGTGCTCTTCACTGGCTGTGCCCCTATGCAGTGCACCCCTCTCCATGGGTCTGTCTTTGTGCTATCTGCATGCGTGTATATTTCTGGGTAGATGGATACAAGCCCTTGGCAATGTGGTACCTTTAATCCACATGGTCTGTTTTGGGTTTAGACCTCCAGGAAGTATATAGACTTAGCTGTCATGGAGAAGTGGAGAGGAGGCTGAGAAAGAAAGGACCATGACTTCTGGGTTGAGGTCAAGGACACGCGGAGGCTAAGCTCAGCCTTCTTGTGGTCTGCCTGCTCTTCTATGTGATCTTTATGGGAGGGAGGCAGATCAGTGAGGTTTGTGTGTGGGCTCCTCCTCCCTGGCCTGGACAGGGGCCTGCTGAGGCCTGCATCCTCTCCCCTTGCTCAGCTCCCATCCGTGCTAACCTGCGAGAGCAGCTTGGCCTCTCTGCACAACAGCATCATTGGCTACATCCTCTACCAGCTCATGCTCCACAGCCTGGACCCTCTGGGTGAAAGTAAGCAAGGCCTGCCCAGACCTGCAGTTTGGGGGGAACAGGGACCTGCAGGTCTGAGAGGCAGTGGGAGGGCGAGAGTAAAGGGGGCAGGAGAGAGCTAGAGGAAAGAGTGGGCAATGACAGCTAGACAGTCTGGGACAACTAGACAGCTTGGGTACAGAGGAAGACAGAGCCTCACAAAAAGAGGTCCTCAGTCCCCGGCCTAAAGAGCAATGCCCCTCATTGTAGGTTGAAAGGCCTCACCTGACCATTAGTAAGGCCCTGGCCTGGACTAGGTTGGGCCCACTCTCAGTGATTTCCCTGCAAGGCCCACTAACCATGTGAGGGCTGGACAGGAAGTCTCCAGCCAGGGCCTCCTTTGACATTGTATTTAGCTCCAGAGTTTGAGGTAGCCTGCAACACCCTCCCTGAGTCAGGAATTCCAAAAGATACCCTGGGAGCTGCCAGGACCACTTCTGAGAGTGGTGGGGGTAGGCACAAGGTCCAAAGTGCCATGGGGACTAATGTCCCACTTTGAAAAGTGATGGGGCAGCTAAGAGTCCCACCATCCACTTTACTAAATCCTGCCTTTTGCTTCCTTTTTCTAATTAACTGCCCCCATGTGGTATAGTAAATTACTTAACAAGACCCTTCTAGCCATTCATGGTCTGTGAGTCCCACAAAGTGGTTTGTTAGAACTATGCTAATAAGGTATCTGTGGTTCACCAAGGGAATTGGACAGCTTGCTAATAATGTAAATAAGGTGCATAGCACCTTTGTGGAGTTGGGCTCATGTAAATAAGTATATCAAACCCTAAAGAGGGGAGTTGTCAGTTTTATCATCCTTCTAGTCTTTTTTTTTTTTTTTTTAATTGTGAATTGGGTGAAGGTTTACAGAGCAAACCATCAGTTTTACATTCAATACTTCATACACATTTTATTTGATCTCATTGATTGTAATCCCCCCAATTCAACATCACTTATCCCACTTCCTCTCAATGTTTCCTGCTTCCATTCTTCCTTCTTTCCTAACCCTTCTCAGCTTGGTCATTGGGCCAATGCTGCCCCTTTTATCACAAATGACTGATTATTTTGAGGAGTGCCTACCTCACTATTGTTACTGTTCCCATGATAGATCTGTCTATTGTCTGACTGAAAATTGAGTCATAGGGGTGAATTCAATCCCAGACTTGAAGGGTGATTTAGGGCCATAGTTTTGGGGATTCCAACAATCTCTTTCTGAACAACAAGCCTCGTCTTTTTTAATGATTCTGAATTTTGTTTCATATTTTTCTCCCACTCTATCCAGGACCTTGTAACGTGATCCCTTTTAGAGCAATTGGTAGTGGTGGCTTGGCACCATCAAATTCTTCTCGTCTCAGGGTTGTGGAGATTGATGTTTACGTCATCCTGATAGTCTTAAAATAAAACATTCCAGAGGTGGGAAGGGGTAACCTCACTATCACCACTACCACCAAGAAAGAAAAGCCAGGAATGGCATGTGTTCTATGGACCCTGGGTTCCTATGAAGGGAACTGTGTCTCTGGGACATACGTGACCACTTGCTGTGCAATCACTGATGTTAGCAAAGTCTTTCAGATAAAGACCTTTGCATGAATGGGATGCAGGGTCCCCTGCAGCTGCTGACTGGTTTACTTGTTCTAACAGGATTATGTGATGTCCAGGCCAGGCCGAGGTCAGAGAAGACTGATACTAAGGAGATGGTCTGGCTGCACTGAGGACAGGCCATGTGAAGAGATGATCACTGGGGGAGCCTGTGACAGTCATGCCGGGAAGTCAAGCATGCTTGGGACATTGTGTGTGGCAAGGCATAGGACTGTGGGATGCAGGCCTATGCAGAGATCATGCTCCTGACTCTACATCCTCAGACGCCATCAAAGAGGGCCTCTGATGAGGGTCCTAGTCCCCAAGATTTTCCAGACAGATGTGTTGTTTCCAAACGGTGGGCCAGATGTTTCCACCCCTTTCAGATGTTTCAACTCTTTCCACAAAGCTGCTCATTAGAAGACAATGTCCTGTGGTCTGGACCTTCCCCTTAAACAGACAGGAGTTTTTCTTCTCTAAGATCTTGTGTCTCTTCAGATGATTTCACTGGAGCTGGTACATGTGTGAGAGAGAGACAACGAGTCAGAGACAGAGACTGTCTCTGCAGCTGACCCGATTTCCTTAGTGGGAAGTGAGGAGACAGGGAGTGTGAGGAGGAGCGATGTCAGGGAAAGAGGGAAACTTGGTTTTTCTTGCCAGTCTCTGCAGCCCAAAGTCACAGAGACCCTCAGCAATAGGACCAGGAGCAAGGGAGGCCTTTGATAATAACTACATGTGTCCCAACAGAAGGCTGCTGAGCTTCACTCCTACTGAGAGACACTGCCTCCAGTTGGGTGAAGGAGGCAGAGCAGTGTTGGTTCCCTGGCACCTCAGTTCTGAGGAGACCCTCCCTGACAGGACACAAGGACACCTCGAGGGACCACACACATCGTAAGTCACTCTGTATGTAGGATGGAGCCCGTTTCCAGATGCAGCCCTAACTGCAGCAACTCGCTGTTTAGGAGACAGGTTGAGAGGAGGAAATTCCAGGCCTGATTATCTGTTTTGTGGAAACCCTGAACAAGGCATGCTGGGCTTGATCTCTACAGAGTGGCTTCCTGGGCAGGACAGCTGTTCTCAGTTACCGCAGTCAACTGATCACCATGACCTTTCCATATAGCTGAAGCTGATACGGTGCTTTCTAAGTGCTAGGCACTGTTGAAGCACAGTCAAGTATACATGCATTTACTCCTTACACTCTGTGAGGTTTAACAGATGAAGACTGAGGGACAGACAGGTGAAGGAATCCCACAGCTTGGTCCACAGCTAGCAAGTAGCAGAAATAGGATTCAAGCCCAGGCCACCGAGCTCCAAAATTTGCACCAATGTAACAGGATAGGTAAGGCTGGCACCTGTGGTAACTAAAGCATTTTGTTGATTCTGTATCGCAGACTTTATAACAGTGTTCTGTGTCATGGTGTGGACACTGAGGCTTGGAGAGGGAACTGGCTTCCTAAGGTTATCCAGTGCTATGGGATGGCGCCAGGCAGGAATCCAGAATACAAGGGACTTCAAAAAATTCAGGGAAAAATGGATATTAAAGATAATAGAACTTCTCCATGAATTTTTTGAAGCCTCCTCATAGATCCCACGGAACCATGAAAGGACCATCATGAACCTTTGAACTTCAACCTCTGACCGTCTATTCTCTCCTTTCTTGAAATGACACATGTAAAGCATTTTGCATGTTGCCAGGCACATCGTCTCATTGAAAAGAGTTACCTTCGATTTTTCTGGCCTGGACACCAGGGCAGTACCATTCTGTGCTTACCGCCACACGGACCTACTGCGAAGCATGTGTACAGGACCTAGAGGAGGCCCTGCTTGGGCTGTAAGTGTCTGGGGCCGAAACAGGTACACCAGGGAGGTAGATGGTTTCCGCTGGCGAGAGACGGCTCATGAGGAGGACCACCAAGAGTCCTCTGGGAGCTGTAGCAAAGCTCTAGTGGATTCATAGAAAGTCTAAGCTGCAAGGGACCTTACAGATAATTTAGTCCAAGGATGGCACATGTGTGTCTCCCTGCCGTTTTCCCTAACTCCTCGCCCCTCACAGACATCACAGAGCAATCATGGCATTTTCTTACTATGCTGAGTCAGAATCTTCCTTATATCAGTCGCCATTACTTGTGCTGAGACAGGAAGGAAATCCTAGTTGTTGCCCCTGAGTCCAATCATTTTACCAGAGAGGAAACAGGCCTAGAGAGAAGTGACTTGCCCAAGGTAATAGCCAGTAAATGACAGTCCAGGGAATTTAAGACAAAAGTTTAGGAATTGCATACTAGCTCCAGGCTTCATAGAACCAGAATCCAAGTATACTAACTTCCAGGTCAGGTGCTGCCCACCCATGACAGTTACTCGGGCATCTTAGCAGTTCATTCCAACTGAAAAAGGCTCAATATTGTGGTCCAAGGCAAGATGCATTTCCTTTCTCATTCCTAGTGCGCCCCTCCAAGGACAAGGAGGAGGAGAGCTTGAAGCAGCAAAGCAGAAAGTAAACCAGAAGGTGAGAGGATGGCCAGACCAGCTCCTCCCCAGTCAATAATAAGCTGGTCTGGAAACAGCAGTCTGCTCAGGTCAGGACTGAGGCACACACGGGCTCTGAGTCAGTCGGCCAGAGTCACAGTCCCTGAGCTGGTGTGTCCACCTGCCCCATTGCTTCCAGGGTCCCCCTTTCTGTCATGACTGCTGTCTTGAGGTGACCTCTTACAGCTCCCTATGCACCTTTCCCAGATAAGGTAGGCACGGGGGGTGGGGGTGGGGTGAGGGGAGGAGAGGGCATGGGTCGTTGAACTTTCACCCCTCTTTTGCACAATCTCATACCAAATGAGATTCTCCTGGGGATGGGCACATCATTTCTCCTTCTTGTCACTTCTACACAAGGACAGGACTGCTAGTAACGGTTTGAGGCAGCATTTCCAGTGAGGGAAGACCACCAGGGGTCTGCACAGCACACCAGACCTGCCTGATCTACCCAGCGACCCCCGGAGGGAGGCAGAGTAGCAGTCAGTGTTCCTATCCTATAGTCAAGGAAACTGAGGCTTAGAGAGTCAGGTGACTTGCCCCCAACTACACAGTCAGGAAGTGAGAGAGTGAGAAGCTAAGCCGAGCTCTCTAGACATTCCAAGTCTCTCACCCCCCTTGAGTAACCCTGTTCCAAGGCTTCCTGTTTCCAGAAGGTTGGTAGGGGAAAGGGTCAGACTCTGAGCACTGGGAACTTTCCTCTCTATTTGCTCTAGTTTTCCAGACAGTTCACAGTATCCTTGGTCACCCTGGCCAGCATGGAAGTGTCTGTGAACACAGCTGTGGAAGGAAGGCTACTTCTTTCATCTGTTGATTTCTCTCAGTGGACAGAGTAATAGTGACTCACTCATATCATGGGTTAAGCATTGGGCTGCTAACTGCAAAGTCTGTTTGAATGAATCAGTCGCTCTGCAGGAGAAAGATGAGGCAGCCTGTCTGTTACTAGAAAGATTTACAGCCTTAGAATCCCTAACGAGCAGTTCGACTCTGTCTTATTGGGTTGCTATATGAGTTGAAATCGACTGGATGGCAGTGGTTTTGGTGTTTGGTTTTGGTTGTCAACAAGAAATTCCCCAAACTTACTGAGAACCTAGAATGGTCCAAGTCCAATAGCTTCTGCTAGTCGCTCAGATCCTAGTAGGCTCTACTGGCCAATCCCTGTTTATCCTTTAAAGAGGAGGAGCCAACTGAGCTCCCTGTGGTCGTGGTCACACCAACCCCTGCTCCAGATGTCATGGGTGATCAGGAGGAAGATGCTGACAGCCAGGTAGGCACACAGCCTGGCTGCCCCCTGTACAAATGGAGACAGTCAGAGACCCAGGGAAGGACTTGCTGACCCAATATACTTCCTCCCGGAAGCTATGAAATCCCATCTGAGCTTCGTTATTCTGGGTAAAGTATTGCCCATTCACCGAAGATTCCGTTAAAACTACAAATAGCAGTGGGTCAGGCTAATTCCCTATGACGCCTTAGGATGAATGAGTTACTATATATGAGACTGTGCTGTGAACTGTCTGTCACCTGCTCTGAAAATAAAATGACACATTGTTAGTGGTTCTGCAAGCTCCAAGGGAGCTAGGTACAGACCTTGTAATTAACTTCGCTAGGTTCCTCTCCACCTGCTGCACCCGCTCTAGGCTCATTGGTCTGGCCCACAGCCTTTCTGAGCCCAGACACTGACTGTCTGCACAGAGCCACAGGCTCTTCTTCCACGATGCTCCAGTCAAACGAGGTTTCTGGCTTTCCATGACTTGGCTCATATTGTTGCCTTTTTGCCCTCCATCTTCATAGCTCCCAATTCCACCCACCCCTCCAGTCCCAGTGCAGTGCCTTCCCATGCCCCACCCAAATGCCTATGGCATTTCAAAACCTCTCTCAGGGTCCTTGTTTCCACCTTCCGTGTTTTTCTTAGTTTCCCTAAGGCATCCTGGTGGCACAGTGCTCTCTGCTACTAATGAAAGGTCGAGGGTTTGAACCCACCAGCTGCTCCTCAGGAAAAAGGTGTGGCAGTCTGCTTCCTTAAAGATTTCAGTCTTGGAGACCCTATGGAGTGGCTCTACCCTGTTCTATAGGGTCATTATAGGAATCGGAGTCTACTGGGGCACTGTAGGATAGGCACTGGTCTGCTAGCCACAAAATCAGTAGTTCGAACCCAGCAGTTGCTCTGTGGGAGAAAGATGAAGTGGTCTGCTCTAGTAAAGGTTTACAGTCTAACTCTGAGTCAGATTTGACTTGCTGGCAGTGGGCTTTACTGGTGTGGCACTGTAGGATGAGCACTGGACTGCAAGGTCAGTTGTTCAAACTCAGCAGTCGTTCCTCAGAAACCCCATGCAGGGTTGCTATGAGTCGGCACCGACTCCACAGCACTTAACAACAACAACAAAGTTTCCTAAAAGTAGGATCCAAGTCAGCTCTGTCTTCTTTGCAGAGAGCAGTACCCACTTGACACATGCGTGTGTTCATAAGGATTGAATGACTGATACAGTAAATACACATTCAGTTTGCAAGTCTAACCTATTTGATACCCAGAAGTACTCAATTTTATTTCAGCCATGATTCAACAACTTTGGGTTCAGTGTCTAAGACATCTTCATGGTATCATGAGTGTCCCAAGTAAGCCCATTAACTGTCAGCTCAAGTACAAGGATTAAAAGAATGTAGAGTAATCTCCTGAAATCTCTGGGCAGGGAGTGAAGCTTGCTCTCATAAGAAATCGGACCCAGGCCTGAAAAGGTCTCTGTGACCCTGGTGGCTTTGTCCTCTCTGGACAGCCAGATGTATTAGTACACACAACTTTAAATCACCACTCCAGACCTCTAGTCCAAATGGGAATCGACCAGTGACTGGTCCCCAGTCTCAGAAGAGACAGACTTTATTCCCAGGTCAGGTAGTCTGTCAGTGTCCAATCAGTGGGGGCAAGAAGAGATGGGGTGCCTCACCTCCAACATGGAAGGAGAGAGATGCCTGCTGAGCTGGGGTTACATGGGGTGGATTTTCAGAGAGGAATGTGCAGGCTGGGTAGACTCATCTCCCTATCCATTTCAATGACTTCTCATTGCTCCCAGGACACCTTCTCTCCCTAATGGGGGAGAGGAGTGGTTGTTGTTATTGTTGTTAAGCGCATTGATTCTGACTCATAGACACCCTGGGTAGGGTTTCCAAGGAGCTGCTGGTGAGCTTGAGCCGCCGACCTTGCAGTCCAAACCCACTTTGAAGTCCATCTTATTAGCCTTCAGTACCATAGCAGGACTCCAATGGAGAGGAGGACAGAGATTAATTCAGAATAAAGTCTTCTGTCTTCCTCCTCATTCCTAATTCAAAACACAAACTTCACTTCATCAGGGGTTGTCAACACTGGATGCATATTAGAATAATTTGAGGGCAGCTTAAAAATGCCAATATAATTACTATAATAAAAAGGGGGGTGGAGATGCCCTGGCCTCACTCTCAAGAAATAAATTAAAATATTTGGGTGGGGATTTGGACATCAATGTATTCAAGAGTCTCCAGGTGATTTTAAGGGAGACCAGTGGCTCAATAGGATAAACACTGGACTGTGAACCATAAAGTCAGCGGTTCAAGCCCACCAGCCACTTCAAGGAAGAAAGATGAGGCTTTCTGCTCCTGCAAAAGCCTCGGAAACTCTATACAGGGTTGCCATGAGTCAAAACCGACTCCACAGCACTTGGCAACAACAACTCGTGATTTTAATGTGCAGGAGGGTTGAGAATCACTGCACATCTTTGAGGAAGGGGTGGGGAGGCAGCCCCCTCATGAAATTTGTTTCAGAGGACGGACTCACACCAGGAACTTGCGGTGCAGGGCATTTGCTCAAAAGACTGAACCAGCATGCCGTTATAGGGTTAGTTGGCTGTCTAATCTGAAGAACTCCAGAATCCATGGCTTTTACAATGCATGCAATCAGTCTGCAGTTCCCAAACGCTTGTCTGCAAATGGTTGTCTTAAGAGCACTTGTGAACACGTTAAAATACAATTCAAATTTGCGGCTTTCAATGCAAGAGATTCTAATTCAGGTGGTCCAGGTGGAGCCAGGAAGTCTGTATTTCTGACACGCTCCCCAGGGTGGGTTTGGAACCACAGATCTATTTAAGTCTCCGCATTTTCACAGCAAGGGAGCTTAGCGGTTAGACTGAGAGTCCATATTCAAATCTCAGCATCCTCATCTCCAAAGTGTGTGCACCATGGACAAGATATTTAACTTCTCTGTACCCTAGTTTCTGCATCTAAAAGATAGGAATAATTCTATCTATATCATAAGTTAGTTGTCACATGGAACTTAATAATCATTTAATAATTGTTATTATTAACCCATTTAGAATGGTGCCTGTCACAAAAAATCCCTCAACAAACAGGCATTGTCATAACAATGATTTCATTGATATAAAACAACTCATAGAAGAAAATAATTGAAGAGTTTTTTTTAGACCAGTAATGTGATGTTGCTGTTAAGTGTCATCGAGTCAATTCCAACCCATAGCGACCCTGTATAGGGTTTCCAAGGAGCGACTAGTGAGCTTGAACCACCGACCTTGAGATTCAAACGACTTTGCAATCTGGCGCATTAACCCACAGCGCCCAAGGAGCAACTGGTGAGCTTGAACCACCGACCTTGAGATTCAAACTTTGCAATCTGGCGCATTAACCCACAGTGCCCAAGGAGCGACTGGTGAGCTTGAACCACCGACCTTGCGATTCAAACGACTTTGCAATCTGGCGCATTAACCCACAGCGCCACACCAGGACTCCAGCAATGTGATATGACCAACAAAACATATCATGGCGTATTTGGCAACATTAATGGAGGCATAGTAAATAAGATAAGGAAGGTGATAGTTCTGTTTTACATTGTATAGGTGTTCTGGTTCATTTAGGGAGCTCTCCCCACAAAAAACAAGCTATTTAGGATGAGTTCCCCAAGATGGTGAGGAGGCTCTAAGCAATAACATGGGTGTGGGGGTGTGGGGGTGGTGTTATAGAAAAACCTGGAATGCCTCACGGAGGAAAGCTATTTCATGGAGCAGTGATTAGACACTTCTGCGGCTCCCAAGAGTAAGTCTACATGCAGGGCTTCCAACTTTCTTTCCAGTTCAGGCAAGAACTGGCTGAGGAAGTGAAACTGCAACAAACTCAGATTTATAAAGTGTGAGTAAACTTGAACAATAACTAGAATGGGGAAAATTATGGGTCAATGCCTTGCTAGAAAGTTAATTTCTCGTTTAGTAAACAAGGTCAGGGAGCTCAATACATTCCCTCAGCCGAAGGGAGGAAAGAAGGAAGTGACAGCCCAGAGATGGTCCACTTTGTAATTGCCTGGTTACTGGGTGCTACCCTGATTTGTGAATCACTCTCTCTCTCAATAAACCTCTTTTGCTTTTACTTGAAAAAGAAAACAAAGAAAAGGGCAGCATGCATGTTTCATAGTAACCAAGTCGTTTGACTGACAGTTGGCAACAGCTGTGCCCTGCTCAAAGATGGTGGCCCACTGAGCTGCTTTGAATGGGTCACTCTCCACAGTCCTGCTGATAATCCAGCTCCAGCCTCAGGCTCCTAGAGGACTCAGTAAGCCTCTCCTGAGTCTCCTGTTCCATGGCTCTAACATGTCATTTATTTCAGTTATCATTCTGCCTCACTCCAATTTTTTTTTTTTTTTTTTTAACTTTTTACTATGAAGGGTTGTTCTTTGAGCGAAGGTTTACAGAGAAGATCATCAGTTTTACATTCAACAAATCATACACTTCGCTTCATCTCAATGATTTTAATCCCCTCCCTGCAACAATTGTCATCCCGTTGTCTCCTTGTGGTTCCTGTTTCCATTCCACCCTCCTTTCTATTTTCTATCCCTTCTACTTGTCCTTAGGTAAATGTTACTTTTTTTGTTTTTTAATCTTAAATGGTTACTATTCCATGGCAAACACACTTTACTAGTGTTGTCCCTCCTATATACTGCTTGGCTGAAAATTGGGACCACGTGAATAAATTCCTTTCTAGACCTGAAGGGCAGTCGAGGGCCCTAGTCTTTGTGCACTATGTTATGCTAATTGACCCTGGTGTCTCCTGAGACTATGGTCCTGAGCCCCCAGGCACAACAACTCAACTGCCTTAAGATGTTAGATAATATCTAAGAAGTTTTCATCATTTTGCCCCCTGTATGCTCCACCACATACATAGTTGTGTTTGCAGCAAAGGTAAATCCCCATGTATGAATATTCTCTGTCTAATCCTTATATATTTGTGGGTATGTTCCCA